TCCAACTCAAAAAAAAAAAAAACAAGGACCAAATACAATAAGATTCCCCAATGAAGACCTGGCATCTGTTACAGAGGTGACCAGTTGCTTGGTGACGTTCATTCTCCCTGGCTTCCTAACTATTGGACCCAGATTTTGTCAAGGGAGACACAGGCACGCCTGAAAAATGACAAGAATTGGCCATATGCTACAGATGGGGTCAATGACACATCACTGAAACTCTTGGGTGTAGTTTCTGGGAATTCTCTGAAAAGGGATCTGATTTGACGAAGTTTCCAGACTAAAAACCAATGAATTATATACTTAAACCAGGTGAAGTTTATGATTATAAACTCTATCTCCATAAAGTTGGTTTAGAAAATGTAACCCGTGGCCAAGCAGAGTGGCTCACACTTATAACTGTGGAAGGCCAGGAGTTCAAGACTAGCCTGGGCAACGTAAAAAGACCTCAACTGTACAACATAATTTTAAAAATTAGCCAAGTGTTGTGGTGCATTCCTGCAGTCCCAGCTACTTGGGAGGCTGAAGCAGGGAGGATCACCTGAGCCCAGGAAGCAAAGGTTGCAGTGAGCCGTGATTGTGCCACTGTACTCTAGCCTGTGCGACAGAGTGAGTACCTGACTCAAAAAAATAAAAGAAAATAAAGAAGGAAAATGTAACCCACAACTTTGGGGGGGGGGGGTTGGAGTCTCACTCCATCACCCAGACTGGAGTGCAGTGGCATGCTCATGACCATCCCAGCATCAACCTGCTGGGCTCCAGTGATCCTTCCGCCTCAGCCTTCCGAGTAGCCGGAACTACAGAGCATGCTACTACACCTAGCTAGTTATTTTATTTATTGTAGACAAGGTCTCACCAAGTTGCCCGGGCTGGTCTCAATCTCACAGGCTCAGGCAATCCACTCGTCTCAACCTCCCAAAGTGCTGGGATTACAGGCTGAGCCACCGAGTCTGGCCACCCACATGACTCTTAGTCCATGACAGTGAATGGCGTCCCCTTGTGGCCGTCAGTGCTGCAGCCCTCCCTCCACCCTTTTCCTTGGCTCTTTGCCTTTGCCTTACTACTTACTTACCTACTTCAAAGGCTAGCACTCCAAGGGCATCTTCCAGCCACAGGAAGGAGAGTGAGGACCACAGGAAGATAGCAACAGGATTCAAAGCTCAGTTCATCTGCAAGTTGTTCAGGTCCTAAGAAGGCCTAAGGATGGCAGGCTGGACACTTTAAAACTTAAGCAGACCAGGCATGGTGGCTCACGCCTATAATTCCAGCACTTTGGAAGGCCAAGGTGAGAGGATTGCCTGAGCCCATGGGTTCAAGACCAGCTTGGGCAACTTGGCAAAACCTCATCTCTACAATAAATCAAAAAATTAGCCAGGCGTGGTGGCGCATGCCTGTAGTTTCAGCTACTTGGAAGGCTGAGTGGAAAGGATCACCTGAGCACAGGTCAAGGCTGTGATGGCCATGAGTGTGCCACTGCACTCCAACCTGGGCGATGGAATGAGACTCCAGCTCAAAAAAAAAAAAAAATAGGCCGGGCTCAGTGGCTCAGCCTCTAATCCCGCGGCTTTGGGAGGCTGAGATGTGGATTGCCTGGGCCCGCGGGTTCGAGACCCACCTGGGCACCAAGACCTCATCTCTACAATAAATCAAAAAATCAGCCGGGTGTGGTAGCGCATGCCTGTAATTCCAGCTACTCGGAAGGCTGAGGCGGAAGGATCACCGAAACCCAGCAGGCGAGGTTGTGGTGGCCGGGAGCGGCCATTGCACTCCAGTCTGGGCAACAGAGTGAGACTCCAACTCAAAAAAAAAAAAAAAAAGAAAACAACTCAAGCTAAGCTGAGCACGATGGCTCACACCTGTAATCCCAGCACTATAGAAGACTAATGTAGCAGGATTGCTTGAATTTAGGAGTTCAAGACCAGCCTAAACAACACACAGTAACCCTGTCTCTACTTAAAACCAAACAAACCTTTTTAAACCTTGTATGTAGGTAAAAATATTTTATAATCAATGACTAATTCATATTTTCTTTTTTAAAAAAGTTGTTCACCATATGTTTATTGTGAATATCTGAATGTCCTGGACAACTTGGGAACAGTCGACAATAGCAGCCCAACATATTTCACGATAAAACATGACTCAGAAAAACTGAAGACAAAATTAAATCTTTCTGACAATCTACTTCATGGAAACATTTTAAGAGAACATTTGCTTTCTTTTTCTAAATAGCTGACTTGTTTCTTCTCACCTCTGCGGACAGATGCCTCTGAGAATGGATTGGTTAAAGTTGTATTGCTCTCATTTGGGATGGTCTCATCTGAAATTTGAATCACATAGACATTCGGTGGCTCCCTGGCCTTCGTCTGTGGACTCCTTTGAGTTTCTTGTGGCCTAGTAGAAGGGAAAGATACATAGCATCGACTAGGTTCAGACTGGAGATCTGCTGCTTTCTGAACCAGATACTGATGATCTCCAGAACTCAAGTCTATCGGTTCACTGACCTCCAAGTCCATTTTCCTGGAGGGGAGAATTGTTATTCATGTCCTTATGATCACACACTTCTACAACCTTAGCATCCTCATACAGTTCAGATGACTTTTAATTTTAACTGCCTTGGCTTAGCACTTGCCAAGTTGCTGCTTAATAAATATTTGTTAAATGAATTCTGAACAAATCTTTGTAAGATGAGGCTGATAGAGTAAAATAATTTGCATTTTATTATGAAATTAAGCTCTTTTTGAATTTATTCAGCAAGGAGTTAATGTATTCCAAGTGTGGAGCTGGCCTTGCTGATTCTACCCTCGAAGAGCTTACAGTTCGGAAGAGAAGATAATCAAACAAGCAATAATATAAAAGGCAATATAAGTAGGCTGGGATCATTGGAAGATGATCTGAGTGTCCTTAATGAAGTATGGAGGAACATCTAGGGAGTAGAGGAAGTTTTAAAATCTCGAGAAAGTGGGGTTCAAGTCACGGCTGGAAGTTGAGTAGGAGTTATTCAAGTGAAGAGATGGAGTAAGGTTTCCCAGATGGAGGAACCAGTCTGGACAAAGTAGAAGCAAAGAGACCAGAGGAGACAGGTTCCAGAAACTGAAAGAAGTATATGTAGCTGGAACAGGGAGCTCGAAGGGGAGAGGAGAATGAGGTTAGACTATGAGGAATGATGTTAGATAGTGGGCATGTTATTGGGGGGCTGGCAAGCCAAGTTAATGAGTCTGGACTTTATTCTGAAGGTCATGGATGTGATAGGCAGAGTAAGGGTGCAGCGACGATGCTCACATTCTGATTTCTGGAGCCTGTGAATATGTTATTTGCATGTCAAAAGAAACACTGCTGGCACAGTGGCTCAGCCTGTAATCCCAGCACTTTGGGAGGTGAGAGGATTGCCTGAGCTCAGGGGTTCGCGACCAGCCCAGGCAACTTGGTGAGACCTCGTCTCTACAATAAATCAAAAAATTAGCCGGGCGTAGTAACACACACCTGTAGTTCCAGCTACTTAGAAGGTTGAGGCAGAAGGATTGCCTGAGCCCAGCAGGTTGAGGCTGCAGTGGATGTGAGCTGCCACTGCACTCCAGTCTGGGTGACAGAGTGAGATTCCAACTCAAAAACAAACAAACAAACAAACAAACAAAAGAAACACTGCAGGTGTAAGTTAAAGACTTTGGAAGAAGGTGACCCTGGATTCCCTGGATGGCCCAATGGAATCACAAGGGTTCTTAGGATCATATGAACAAGAAGGAGGCCAAGGGACACAGCTGTTGTCCTGGAAGGGGACCATGAGCCATGAAATGCAGGCAGCCTTCACAAGTTGGAAAAAGCAAGGAGATGAATTTCTTCCATACCTCCGAAAGGCAGCCTTGTTGACAGGAGCCTGATGATAGGTTTCTGACCTCCAGAACTGTAAGGTTATATAAACTAGTTGTTTAAAGGTATGAAGTCTGTGGTCATTCCTAACAGGAGCAGTCAGAAATTAATACAATGGGGAATCATGGGAGGACACAGGAGGAGGCCATGGGATCTGACTCCAGGCTCAGTGTGGAGAATGGGGCAGAGTATGACAAAGTGGAAGCAAAGAGACCAGAAACCCAGACAAGCGTCTCGCAGCCTGAATACAACCATAGGAAAACTGCTATTAATATTGACCAATGAGGCAAAGCAAAAGGCTCCCATTAATCACCTGGGGGACATGAAGACTCCAGCAAGGCCCTGCTGCTGGCCTCCCGTCGCACAAAGTGAGCCAGGTAGGGATTTGAGAAAGAGACCACCAGATGGCAAAGGCTTGGACGAGCCAAGGCCAACTGGAAGGCATAAACAGAAGGGCTGAATAAAATGTCAGGTCTTAGAGGTCTGCTCCTCAAATTAATGCCCAAACTTTACAAAACTCATTGAGATTTTTTTCAGTACTTGGCAGTGTAACTCTAAAGCTCATCAGGAAGAGCAAATATGTGAGAATAATCAAGAAAAAATAGAAAGAGAAAAATTATGGGGGAGAGAGTGGTGATTTACTTTATCGAAAATCAAAATATCATGCTAAATATTTAGAACTGTGATGATGGCATGACAATAGACAAATGGATCAATGGAATGGAAGAGATTCAAGAAACAGACTGATGTATATAGGTGAATTTAATATTTGATAAAGGTGGAATTTTAAATTATTGTCCATGGTTTGGAAAAATTAACGATTATGTACTTGGAAAACAAAATAAAGCTTAATAGCTATTTCAGATCTCATACAAAATGCATTTCAGATGAACTAACGATTTCCTAAATAATAGTAGCCATAGATATTCTACAAGGAAATGCAGGATTATCTGTGTAATTCTTTGCAAGAATGATATCATTAAAAATGTTTGGCAGATTTTGGGAAGAGGAACACTTCAGATGTCATTACAATTCAGAAATGCAAAATGGTAAACATGACATTTGCTACATTTAAAGATAACAAAACAATAAGGAGAAAAGAACAGATAGGCAATTCATAAAGGAAATTTAAATGGTCAATAAACTTAGGAAAAGATGCCTCACAAATAATAACTAAAGAACTGCAAGCAAGAACAGTGGTGAAATGTTGTTTCACTCTTGTGCATAAAAGACTGGCAAAGATTAAGAAGATAATTCTCAGAGTCGCCAGGGAATGAAGGAACAGATGATGCAGGGCCCCTGTGTGACTTGTGAGAGCCTACTCTTGTTTGCCTTTCTCCACAAACGTGGAGAGAGGGGTCCCTTTCTCCACAAAGAAAAGATTGAAAAACATATGTTGTGACTACATTGGCATAAAGATGAAGATGATCCAGTCTGGATTCATTTTATGCCATATGTTAATTATTACTTTAATTTTTTCTCCTGATTTTTAAAGGCATTAAAATATTATAGTGGCCCCTAAACTCTTATGGGCCCTAGGTACTGTCCCATTTTTGCCTAGTAGGTCAGTCAGCCCTGAAGTATTTGTGGGGGCAATTTAGCAGCATCACCCAGAATTAAAAATGCGTATTATTTTAAGACCCAACAGTTACATTTTTAGAAACGTGTCCCATAAACATACCCATACAAATAGGCAAAGCTACATGTATAAAGAAGTTCATTACATTGTTCGTTGTTTGTAGCTGCAAAAAGAGTAAAACAGTTTAAATATCCATCAGTTGGGGGAATGGTTAAATTAATTTTGGCACAAGAAAAGGCAGGTATATATGGATTGATGTGGAAAGTTCACTGGCATACACTTACGAATTTAAAAAATAGAATCAGAGAATAATATTTAGTAAGACCACATTAATATTTTACACACACACATACACAAACTTCAAGAGCCTGAAAAGATATACTACAAACTGTTCTTATGAGTATCTATAACACAGCAGAGTTGAGAAATATACTATGAATGGTATACTTTTTTACAATGAGCATTTCTTACATAAGAACAAAAAAGATATTTACATTTTGAAGAAAAAGAGAAATATTTATCTTTTTGGTAAAGTTTGAAGCTCCTCTGAAGAATGCAGTCTTCACACAAAACTGAGAAGCATTAAAAGATGCTCGATAGTCAAAACTGGTTTCCTCTCCAGTGTCCTGCAAACCAGAAGGAGGAGAGGTGGCAAGATTTTCAAAGCGCTCAAACACGAATACAGAAGCAAAAGCCACAGGCAACTGTTCTCTCATGGCCTTACATATGGCTGGCGCTGAGTCCTGAAGTGAGGCTTCCCTGGTCCTCAGAAACTCTCCTGCTCCCAGTCAGCCGTCATCCAGAGCATGGGCAGCTGGGGTGAGAGGCACAGTTCCGAGTGACAGTTAGGGGAGTGGCAGTTGGAGCCTGGGGTGGGCCAGGACCCCGTGTAGAGCCTAGGAGAGGGATTCTGGGTTAAGGAGTCAAGCCCGATCTGCTGAGCCTTACTGGGACAAACAGCAATGGCCACACACTCTGCTGAGTCTCAGGGGGGCCTACACCCAAATCTCCAAGCTGGTTCCATGTCAGGGAATAAGGGACCCCTGCAGGATGTGGGCCCCTCCCCCGACCATGTCATCACCTTTTCCCCAGCTGGAGGAAGGTGCTTAGGAAATTCCAAGAGGGGAGTCCACCCGAGATGCCACACAATTGTTTCACATGAGTGAGACTCGTCTGTGATAAAGTAGTGTCTTCTCTGGTGGATGAGGATGACGTTGGCATCCCCCATGGACAGGGAGTTGCCTTCCTCTGGGTTGCAGCAGTGAGGAGCTTGGTGAGGAAAGGCAGACGACTAGGTTACAATATAGATAGTGTGCCTGCCGTGGAAGACAGATGTCATGCTGATCCTCCTGTGTGGATCAGCAGGAACATCTGCCTTGTCTCTCTTCTGTGGTGCCTTCTAGCAACATCACATGGTATCCCCCCTTCAGTCCCCTGCATTCTTACTAGCTGATGTTAATAGGAAACTGGGATTAACTACATTTTCCAAAATGTAATGAACATGATTACATGCTAGAGTTATGGCTAATGATTTGACCACGACCTAGTTAAAAGAAATGCTTCTTCCTCCCGCTCCTTCTTTCTTATCAGCAGCATGGTTGGCATCAATTGAGCACTTATTAGATGTAAAAGTTGTGTACAACTTCACACATACTAACTAAATCCTCACACCAGTCTGTGGGGCAAACAGGGTCTCAGTGGCAGCGTCACCCTAAGATATCCAGGACAAGAGTGTGAGAGGTCGAGGGATCTGCTCACTCGGCACACAAATATGGTGAATGTGATCTCTTTGAAAACAGCCCTGTGCACCTGCTCTTTATTTTAAATCGTAAGAGTTTTAATCAATGAACCACATAACACTTTAATCGTGCACATCAGACTGCATGCTGACCCTGACAGTCCCCTGGGAGCTCATTCTTTTCCTTAGTGTGAACTTTGAAACCTTGGACTACAGACACCAGCACTAGAATTTTCTGACATCCCACAGGCACTACATTGTCTGTGTGCCCCAGTTGCACCTTCCCTCTGGGGCTGGACTGAGAACAACTCACTGTGTGCTATTTCCTGAATGTGTTCCCCAGGTTCACCTGTTGAACCTTAATTGCCAGTGTGAAGGTATTAAGAGGTAGAGCCTCTGGGCAGAGAGCTCTCATGAATGGGAATAGCAACTATGTAGACTGGCTGGAGGAGCTAGCCTCGTCCCCTTTTGCAATTGCACCCTTCTGGCCTGGAAGGACACCCAGATAGTGCCATCTGTGATGAATGGGCCCTCACTAGGCACTCCATCTGCCAGCAGTCTGTCCTGGACTTCCCAGAACTGTGAGAAAAAAGTTTCAGTTCTTTACAAATTGTCACTCTGAGCCCCCTCCCCAAGATCGAAGCCTTTACTGCAAGATCTTGGTGAGTCCCTTCCTCATACCTGGTTCCCTCGCCTCCTGACTTGGCCCCCGCTGCCTTCTCTGCCTGGCAGTCACATTTCTCCTCACACACAGGCTGTTCACACTCCAACACACCTGCGCTAGAGCTCAGTGGCATCGCAGCAGCGGTGGCTTGGGGAAGCCCACTGAGCCAGCGCTCCATTCACAGCAGCTGCTGAAGTCTCTTCTGGCCCTGAGACAGACAGCATCATCCTCACTTACAGATGAGGGACTGAGCTTCCAAGAGGGGTCACTTGCCTGTCCTTGAACCAGGTGCTGTCCACTGTGCCCCACTGCCTCCACTGGGGAGAGGATTTTTAGTGTCAAAGAATTGCCTTTATTTTTTTCTTTTCCACTGGATAGTATTTTCTTTGTTTTTTTTTTTTTTTGAGTTGGAGTCTCACTCTGTCGCCCAGACTAGGGTGCAGTGGCTGCTCCCGGCCACCACAGCCTCGACCTGCTGGGCTCCGGCGATCCTTCCGCCTCAGCCTTCTGAGTAGCCGAAATTACAGGCATGTGCTACCACACCTGGCTGATTTTTTGATTTATTGTAGAGATGAGGTCTCGCTGCCCAGGCAGGTCTCGAACCCACGGACTCAGGCAATCCACTCACCTCAGCCTCCCAAAGGCGAGGGATTACAGGCTGAGCCACCTAGCCGGGCTTCTTTGTTTTTTTAAAATGAAAGTAATGCATGCATGTGGTGAAAAAATGTCAAATGATACAAAAGGGTGCCTGATGAAAAAACTTCTCTCCCTCTCTACCCCTGTTGGCATCTGTTGTCAACAGTTTAGTTTTAGTTGTAGCAACTAAAATAATGCAACACAGACACAAAACTTTTTAATTTACACAAAGTGATCTTATCCTATATATTTCCATCCCTCTTAATATTAGATTTTTTCCCCCTATCAGCATACAAAAACCTCAGATAGTTTCATGTGTCACTCAAAATAAAATTCAAAGTCCTTCCTATGACTGTCATAACCTGATGCAAAAGCCAAACAAAGATAATGTAAAAAAGGACAATTGTAAGTCCATGTAACTCACGGATTTAGATGTAAAAATCTTACAAAGCAGTACTACAGCACAGCACTGGTGGTATACTGCTGAGCATAACTGCCTACCAATCAGTAGTAAGCCAAACCCAGAGATATGTAAGGAAGACATTAGGATCAAGCGGGGTTCATTCCAGGAACTGCAGTGTTCATTTAACAATCATAAATTTGTCTGTGTAATCCACACATTAATAAATAGGGGAAAACCATAAGCATCTCATAGAGGAAAACCATTTGATAAAATTATACCCATCCACCATAAAAATAGGAATGGGATGGGCATAGTGGCTCACACCTATAATCCTAGCATTTTGGGGGGGCCAAGGCAGGAGGATTGCTAGAGCCCAGAGATTTGAGACTAGCCTGGTAAACAAAGTGAGACCTCATCTTTACAAAAAAAGTAAAAAAAATTGCTGGGTGTGGGGTTACCTGCCTGGAGTCCCAGCTAATCGAGAGGCTAAGGTGGAGGGATCACCTGAGCTCAGGAGGTTGAGGGTGCAGTGAGTTGATTGCACCACTGCACTCCAGCCTGTACGACAGACTGAGACTCTGACTTAAAATAAATAAATAAAAGAGAATTTCCTAAATCTAATAAAGAGAATCTACAAAATCTATGATGTTGGAGATTAATATAGTGGTCATCTCTGAATAAAGGACAAGAGGGGTGCTTTGAGATAGTAATTATTTCTTGATTTGGTTACCTGAGTGCAGTTACTTTGTGATAACTAAGCTGCATACATATGAATTGGATACTTTACATTATGTGTATTATACTTCAGTTTAAAAGGCTGTTAAAAAATTTTTGAGGAATTTCGCAGCAACCTGGATGGAATTAGAGTTTATAATACTGAGTGATCTCTCACAGAAACAAAGATCTGAGTATCACATGTTCTCACTCATAAGTGGACCTTGAACAACTATTGTAATACTATAAGAAAAGGACTGACAATGGTGGGAAACTATGGGGGGAGCAGGGAGGGGAAGGGAAGTGGGATTAACGGTAGTCAATATCTGTCTGAGGATAGGGGGACACACCTCATCAACAAGGGTACCTGCACAATGCATATTTGTATACCTAACCCTTAACTGTACCCCACAATTTTAAAATAAAGAATATGTTAAAAAAAAAAAGTTGTCAAGGAAAAACATGTAAATCCTCCTGACAACCTAAGAAGGTTGGAGAGTGCAGCCAGGGACTGGGGAGCTGACAAGGACAGGTGAAGGTAGCATGAGGAGGGATGGAGAAGCCCAGTGCTAGGTGGCCGTTCAGTCAGCCCTCCACCTCCACAGGATCCACAACCACAGACTCAGCCAACCCATGGACTGAAAATATTTTAAAATATGACAATGAAAAATAATACAGATAAACCAATACTGTATAACAACTATATCGCATTTACATTGTATTAGGTTTTATAAATAATCTAGAGGTGATGTCAAGTATATGGAAGGGGCCAAGCACAGTGGCTCATGCCTGTAATCCCAGCACTTTGGGAGGCAAGTTGGGTGGACGGCTTGAGTCCAGGAGTTTGAGACCAGCCTGGGCAACATGGCCAGACGTCTTACAATAGCAAAAAATCAGCTGGGCATGATGGTGTGTGCCTGCAGTTCCAGCTACTTGGGAGGTTGAGGTGGAAGGATCTCCTGAGCCCAGGAGGTTGAGACTTTAGTGAGCCATGATCGTACCACTGCACTAAAGCCTCAGAGACAGAGTGAGACCTCAAGTCAAAATATACATGTATATTATATGCAAATACGATGCCACTTTATATTAGGGGACTTGAGCATCCCGGGACTGTGGTAATCTCAGGGGTCCAGGGTCCTCTATGGGGACCAAGGGACAGTGGTACAGGTGGATGCTGACCTGACCCGTGGCGGTGTCCTAGAGCGGAGAGCCAGCCGGGTCGGGGATCAAAGTGTTCAGTGAAAGAGGAGCAGCAGCTTGGAGATGAGGAGCAGAGAGAGGTGCCCTACCAGACGGAGGGATACACTATGCGCATGGAGGTCAGGCCCAGACTTCCCAGAGGGCCTTAAAGAATTAACTCACATATGACAGAGTTACTGCGAAAGCATACGCGTCTTATCGAATATTTTTACATGCAGGGAACCTTTCCAAGAGACATAAAGATCGATAGTGGCCGTCAGAGGAGTGGAGAGGCTGAGGAGGAGACGGGTTGGGAAAAGAGGGGCTGTGGATGGGAAGGGAAGGGCAGAGGGGAGAGGCGACCGAAGGGAATAAATAGGCCGGGGAGAGGAGGGGCTGAGGAAGGGAGAGGTTGAGGGCGGGGTTAGGGAGGGGCAGGGCTGAGGAAGGAAAAGGCGGGGGTGGCGGGGACGGGGAGGAGCTGGGAAGGGAACGGGGGAGACAAGAAGAGCGGGGATGGGCTGCAGGAGGGGTTAGGGAGAGGCGGGCTGGGGAGGAGAAGGGCAAAGGGGAGGAGCCGGGGAGGGCGGAAGGAGGAAAGAGGCGCAGGAGGGAAAGTGCTGGGGAGAGGAGGGAGAAGGATGGGGAGGAGTCAGTCTCAGAAGCGTGGCCAGGAGGGACGGGACTGGGAGGAGCGGGGCGGGGCAGGAGAGACAGGAGAGACACTCGCGGCGCGCCTGGGCCACTGTCCACCACGTGTTGGCCCCGCCCTCTCGGGCTCCTCCGCCGGAAACCGTCCCGCCGGCCCAGTCACCCTCTGACGCCTTACTCTTCTCTCGGTGGTTCCGAACGACGGTTGTGCAGGGCCGAGCACGTGCGCCGACGTCTCGGGCTGCCCAGTCCCAGCGGTCCATCCTTTGCACTCGAGACAGCTCGGGATCCCCTGCGAATCACTTTACATACATAGTGGAGCGCTGGAATCCATTATTTTATTGCAATGACAGTTTATAGTGTAATTTCGGACACCGAGGAACTTATTTATGATACAAACATCACTTCACATCTTGTTTTCGGACATGGTGCCGCGCGCAACAGTCGCGACACGCCCGGAGGTGCAGGCCCGCTGCACGGGAGGGTTGCGCCCAGTTCCCGCCCGCTTTCTACTTGAGCCGCAGCCAGTCTGGTTTCCTCCTGCCATTGGCAACACGCCCTTGACCTCCAGCCAGCTCCAAGGCGGTGTGGGAGGACTCTGCGAAACGCCAACTGGTATCCTTCACGGGTATCCCAGCAGACACTTCATCTCCGCTTTTCCGTGCAAATTGAAATTCAAGGAAACATTCATTTGTAAAAAGCTCGCGCGGGCCGTTTGTCCCGTATAGTCACCAGCAATCTCATGTCCCCAGAGGTCGCGACGGGAGGGAGGTCCCCATGAGGGTCCTGAGTAGGAGTGCCAAGTTCAGCAAATAAAACACGACGCCCAGTTATTGTGACTTTCAGACTAGCAGCTTCCCTGGGCACTCGCAGTAAGAATGACTCTCGAAAGTCACACTTCGCGGAGCACCGCAGTTTTGCGACAATCCAGGCCGGAGGCCAGACGTGAGACACGCCCCCTCGCGCCAGCTAGCCCCACCCGGCGCCGCACTTCCGGTCGGGGGGTCCACGCCCGCGCGCGGCCCCGCC